CTTTTGGTTATCTTTCCTTCCTCCCCCCAACAACAACAAAATTGCATTTATAGAGCGCCTTTCATGTAGGGAGGACGTCCCAAGGCGCTGGACAGTCAGGGATCAGGACCCAAGCATTGGGGAAGGGTGGGGTAGGGGTGAGGGAAGGCAGAGAGGTGGTAGGGCGACTGAAGGCATGATCGAAGAGGAGGGTCTTGAGACCGGCCTTGAAGGAGGCAAGGGAGGAAGCGAGGTGAAGGGACTGTGGGATGGAGTTCCAGAGTGTGGGGGCAGAGAGGCTGAAAGCCCGGCCACCGATGGTAGGGCGGGTCGGGCGGGAGACATGGAGCAGGCCGGAGCCCGATGAACGGAGGGAGCGGGCAGGTTGGTAGGGAGTCAGCAGGTCAGAGAGGTAGGAGGGGACAAGGCCATGGATGGCCTTGAAAGTGAGGACGAGGATCTTGAACTCGATCCTCTGAGGGATGTGGAGCCAGTGGAGTCGGGCGAGGGTGGGAGTGATGGGGTCACGGAGCCTGGTGCGTGAGAGTACACGAGCTGCAGAGTTTTGGATGATCTGCAGCTTGTGGAGGGAAGAGTTGGAAAGGCCGATGAGGGAATTTCGATAATCAAGCTTTGAGGTGACAAATGCGTGGATGAGGGTTTCGGCAGCCTGAGGGGTGAGGCAGTGGCGGAGTCTGGCAATGTTGCGGAGGTGGTGGTAGGCAGTGTCGGTCATGGCGCGGCTGTGGGGGAGAAAGGACATTTAAACCACCCTCCTCAGCCAGAATAATCCAGAACTTTGGGATGTCCTCCTGATGTGAAAGGCGCTACGTAGGTGTAAATTGTATTGTACTGTATAATACGATAATGGAATAGGTTCAATGGGCTGAATAGCTTCCTCGTTTCTCTTTTCCTGTTTCCGTGTTACCAGACCAATTGTGGATTTCAGAGAAATAGCTCATAAGATGTGGTGCAGATTTCTGAAGTATTTCACTTGTGTTATTCTGGCTCAAGGAATTAGACAGATAAAAAGTAAGATACAGAGGCAGGATCAGAATGTCTATTCGGGGAGTTAAATGTTACTGGATACAGAAACTTGACAACCATCTAAAATATTTTAGTAAGTCACGTATTCCTAGTATGATTTCTGAAAGAATCACTTACTGCAGTATAATATATACAAGATAGTTTTCAATAAATCGCTTTCTTGCTATTACATGAGAATATTTTTAGTCAGCAGTTAGAAATGAGTAAAATCCCCTATTCTTATATGATGGGTTACACATTTAAACTGAGCAACTGTAATGAGAGAGGTTAGCAGCTGTTAGGGAAAGCCTAGCAGTGTCAAGCAGAATGATAAATAGAACTGAATATTGTTGGGAACCCTGGTAAAAGACAATTTTATTAACACTTAATGATAGTGATAAAGAATATAATTGATTTGCATTAAACTCATGGCTGAAATGGATTCTTAGGGTTTCTTATCTTCATAGCTGTTTCTTATTTTCTTATAGTTTATCCACTTAAACTGCTTGAAAATATGGAAGATAAAAGTGATTAGAAGAGAATTACCAGCCACTTGTCTTTGCGTAAGTACTCCTACGATAACAGTCACTACACATTTTCTGTGAAGTGCTTTGAGATGTTTTGAAGTTGTAAACACAAATAACAATGTTCTTCTGCATATCTTTCAAAACCACAGTCTTAGAATGAATTCATTATGGTCTTTCTCTTCTGTATTTGTCTGTAGTTTCAGAGAATTTCAGAGGAACTACTTCATGCAAAGGACAATGAGAAGGTGGAACTCGGTGCTCAAAGTGGTGGTTGAGCAGATACTAAAGAAGCATTTAAGAGGAAGCAAGATATACATATAAAAGAGAAGAATAATGAGAGTTTGGGAAGAAATATGCAGTGGGTGGAGTATAAACACCAGCACAGCCGATCTGAATGGCCTATTTCCATGCTGTACATTCGCTCTATGTAAATGTGAAGGCAAATACTGTACTATGTTGTGTACATAGTATTATGTGGTACACCTCAGGGGTCATCTTATTTTCTGTATGTATAAATTATCTGAATTTAAGCCTAGGGCCATTTGTTGAAATGTACTAATGATACCACATTAGGGGGCATGGCAAACTGCGAGGAGGAACACAGAAGACTATGGAGGACATAGATATATTAGCAGAAGTGGAAAATGGAATTCAATGCAGAAAAATGTGAGGTGGTAAAAAAAGGGAATATGCCATGAATAGTAACAGTGTCAAAGCAGAGTCCTAGGAGTACCGAAATTTAGGTCTCCCAAAGGGAGTGGAGTAGGCAAGACTATAAATTGGGGAATAATAATAGATTTTCATGAAGTTTCCTTTATTGGCTTTGTTCTTGCATATGCTTGAGTGGTCTGATATCAATTTCGGACCAAGTCAATACGTCTGTAACTATTCTAAACATAGTATTTTTGAGGTATATGTACCTTCTCCGCTAGTGGTCTCAAAGCCTCACACAATGAGGATGCAAAGGCAATTGTCACTATTTGTAATTTGTGTTTGTGTTGCAATTCACATCAGTGTTCAAATTGATGCTAAATGGCAAAATTCTTCCTGTTATATTTAGGACATAAATAATTTTGCTTTCTTTGTGAATTTTTTGTGTTACACAATTGTTTCTGTTGAGTTTGTCTCATGGAGGGTGACTGCGGATGCATCTATCGTGTTGACTACCATAATATGAGCTGAACATGTGAATGGTTTCCTCTCCATGTTAAATGCAAGTTCGCTTTCTTAACACACTCCAGTTAGTTTCACTGAAAAGCTTGTTCAGAATTTATACATAATGCTTTTTCATGGTGTAATTGATTCCAAAAAGTACAGCTAGTGTAATCAAACTTTTTAGGTAGTTTTTTCTCAACCTTGGAATGATGTCCAGTGGAGAAACTGAATGCTGTGGTTGAAGTTGTTTTTCATGATGACTGTATTTAGGAAGCAATACATTTGATCAATTTCCTCACAAACACTTTCCTCTACTATATGTGACTATGGGATTGCAAACTGCGATGTATGATGTGATAATCGTCACATTGCTGAACATCCTGAACAATCTGCATAATCAAATGGTTTGAGTGTGAACAAATCCTGACCATTGTTATTTCTATCTGCAGAACACAGTGTTTCGGGGTTTCTCTACGGCTGGTAGAGGGATCCATTACAATCAAATACAGCCTGAAAATCAGACCTGAGACAGTTAGAAAAGAGGTCAGGAAGCATTTCTTCACACAGTGGGTTGTGAAGGTGTGGAATGCTCTGCCCCATAAAGCTGTAGTGGTTGGATCTATTAGGGACATTTAAAATAGATAGTTATTCAGTAAAGGTTATGGCAAAAGAGCCTTTGGGATTAAAAGATTCTCTCTTGAAATCTGTCTGGACATTTCCCCGGTAGTTTTAATATCAATCACTTAATTTTTCCTTATATTTATATACAAAAATACAGGCTGTGATGATATCACTCAATTATTTGGTAAACATTTTGAAAGTATTTTGAAAAGAAAACAGCGCTTTTAAAAAGGTAAAATAATCTGAGCAGGAAATAAAGGTAGGCGAGTCATACCAGACTATGTAATTTGACCAAATCTAGAAATTACTGATCTACAAATACCATTACTTAGAGTTTCCTTTGTAACTTTGCCATAGAGTATTGGTTAACAGAATGAATAACAAATAAGTGTTTTTTTTTGAGCCAAAAAATCTTTGGAACTGTTACAGCACAAACTGTCCCTAATGTTACCCTACAGGAGAATGCACTTCAGGAAACGGCCTTGCTGGTGAAGATCTGTGAACTGAAGTTATGAACTGGATGTCACCGCAGCAGAGCTGCACATAGTAGGGGACACACACTCCACCATTGTGTTTGTGTGTAAACTGACGTAATCTGTAAAAAAAATAAATAAATAAATAAATAAAATTATTTATTGTATAAAAAAGAACTGACTCTAAAGTCGTTACTCACTGTTATTTACAATTAAGAACTGGCAGGAGATTGGGGGAGATCAGATTTTGCCTGTTACTGAATGCAGTGACTTGAATGATTTTAATGACCATAAAATGCGATGCCTGAATTGCCAAACTGGATTTATTGAGCTAGAAATAACAAAATTAATATTGGGACAATTGGATTGTGGATTATGCAAACAGCGAATTGTGAATTTCAAACTAGCAAAGTCTACTTTATGGCTCTTTGGCCTTTTTGGGGGGACTTTGTTGGTTTGGAATCAGCAATTTGCTGTTGACGGATCATACCGTGAATTCCACAATCTGGAAATCATAATTAATTCAAACCGGGGAATATCGCATTCTAGACCCCAATATGTTCTTAGAATGGGACTTTCTCACCACGATTGACCATTGGTCAAGTCACTCAGTGAAATGCAAGAAAGACTTCTGAGTGCTTCTTCTTCCTCTGGTCAGAGAGTCTGAGTCTCATTCATTTAATCTATTTAGTTCCCATAACATTTATTGAGAATTGAAGGAAAATTAAGTAGCATCTTTATAAGGAGGTGTTTCTCTGATCATCGATCACTTTTCTGTCCTTGGCAGGTGAGCACGGTTGAGGAATCAAGAGTTACCACTGACCTGCAAGATTTCAGCTCTGCTATAATCTATTTCCCAAATGGAATTCCCACAAGTCAACATGAATTCTAACAGAATTCCTTATTAATGAATCCCATAAGAAATGAAGCAAATTGGAGCCCAATACGAATAAGAAAATATAACAGCCTCTGACCAGGGGAATAAGAAACAGTGATAAATATTCACAGTAAATAACTGTGAAAGGCAAGGAATAAAAAAAATTACTTCATTCCAAGGAATCGTTCCTCTTGAAATAGGGCAGCGTTCTCCTTTATCAGAATAATACCAGGAAAAGAGCAGAAAAGAAAAATTTTCGAGCGCCTTGTCAAAATGATGCTCAATATATTAAAATATTTTTCTGTGATACTTTTGTTGTTTTGGGCTCACACAAAAAATGGCTTAGCTATCTGTGTCGAAGTCTAATTGCAATGCAGAACCTGGTTTATCGAAGAGGTGGGACTGTTTTTTGGTAGGAGTTGTGGCTGGTGTGTCACTGGAATCTGACACTGTAACTGGACTATCCCTGGCAAACACCTCAGTAGACTCCCTCCATACACAGTCTGCGGCCAATTTGCACGGAAAATATGCGCGTCTGGGCCTCATCTGCTGAGTGGAATTGTTAAATATCTGCCGACTGTTTGAAGTGGCAATTTTAATCTTTAAGGCCGCATCGACCCGATCCACCACAGTGTAGGTCCCGATGCTGCCATCATCGAAACCTATAATGATGTTCAGGTGCCGTTGGGAAAGACAGAGGAAAGCTGGGGTTTTGTACAGTGAGCAGGCGCCGATGTTTTTCCCATCCGCGAGCCTGATCACTATTAAGCTCGACACGGCTCCGTTGTCATCGTCCTCAACGCCATTTCTAAAACAAATGTACACCAGGTATCGTCCGTCCCGTGATAGCTTCTGACACCAGATGGTCCCCATGGCGGGAACCAGCCGGAGCTTTCCATTGTGCAGGTCCATGATGTTGATGTTGTCATCTCCCCGGGAAAGAATTCCCAGCTTGCCGTTGGGAGAAACCTGAAAATCTTCCAGGTTTTTAAGGAAATTATTGGGTAGCTGGACTCGCCTGCACACTGTTTCCTCCGCCACACTCCAAACAAAGAGGGTTTCGGAGGATGTTATGAAAACCACATAGTCTGGGGAATCGGGAATGAGCTTGAAATTGACGATGGTTGTGCCATCGTCACAGCAGAATTTCTTGGTTACGCTTCCTGTCCACAGGCTGACAGCCAGCAGCTTGTTTTTTGAAACACCAATTATGAACGTATTGGGGTAGGTGATAAAGGCATTTTGCATCGGGACCAGAATGTTGCACACCTTGTGGCCAGTGGACAGACGCCACACTCGAGACACGTTTTGGTTTGAGAGAGACACCACGAATTGATCGTTGTGTGTGATCAGCAGCTGGGATATCCGCTGCCCGTTGATACGGAAGATGTTGTCGCCAGTAATGGTGTGCCAGACGTACTGGATGCCCTTGTCGTCTGAAGTGACCATCAGATCCCCAGAAGATGTGAGCACGCAGTTTTCCACAATGCCTTCATGCTTGAATACGGCCTCAATGTACCCTGTGCTGAAATTCCACTTGTGGACAGACTCCGAACCATCTACTGTGTAAATCAATTCCCCTCTTCCCGGTAAGAGGAGACTTTGAATCGCCTTCCCTGTCTTGTCAATGTTTGAGATGGCTGTTATGATGTCTATGTCCCAAACTGAAAGGGTGCCATTGGTTGTCAAGGATAGCAACAAGTTGTGTTGGTTTGACTTGACCAGCTTTATGATAGCTCCTGAGAGCTCCTGCAGACTCGCCATACACTGGCCGGTGTCTCTCCTCCACACAAATATCAATGACATATCTTCCATTGAAGCAATGATAGAGTCACCATTTTTGGAGAGGACCGCAGATATGAAACGTTCGTTCCGTTTAGCTTTGAACTTTTCAGCCACCTTCCAAATGCTGGTGTCCAGAACTTCGATGCTGAATGTCTTGCAGATGAGGATTGCACTTTGGTCTTCTGACAGTTCTAAGCTCACCACTTCATTGTCTTTCCCTCTACAGTTAAAATCCTCAATGATTTGAGGGTTGGTGATTTCGTCTATGTTCCAGACCGACAGACTGCCTTCATTATCGATCATCACCATCTCTTGTGCTGCAGCCAGGATGAGTAGGGATTTCACATACCCTCCAGAAAACTCTGAGGTCACTGTCGAGAGCTTTTCGCCGCTGCCTAAGAGGAAAATAGTGGTAGTGTTGAGGCATTGTCCACAGAAGGCATAAACCCCATCTGGAGAGCATTGAACACAAGTGACTTCATACCAGCAATGGAACTGGTAGAGTGGCCAACCATAAATTAAGTCTATCACGTGTACATCTTTACTGCCTTGCAGCCACGCCAGAGCATGGTTAATTGATAATGTGAAACCGTTAATAAACGAGCTACCTCCTCCCATTATGCAGTGCTTGGATCCTTTGATTTCCACCTCCGATAACAGGCATGAATTCTGATTGTCGTATATTAACAATGTATTCTTTGTGGTGGACACAACCAGATACTTTTCATCGTGAGTGAGTTTCATCCCCAGGATAGCAGAGTTTGCTGTGGTGATCTGCCTGAGGATCTGTCGTGATTCCACGTCCCAGGTGGTGATGGTGCCATTTCCCAGGGCAGCGATGATCACATTGGGGCTGGTGGTGGGAAGCACCTCAATGACGTGGATGTAGCTCGTGGTCAGAGTCAGACGCTCAGGGCTGTAGGTCACATCCAGCGAGGAATGCAATGGGACAATTGAGCAGTATTTTGGGCCGTCTTTGTCACACTCCAATAAAAGGTGTCTGAGTTTCGGTAAAGAGCTAACAACAGGCAACAGCCTTTGCTGTAATTCAGCAGAAAGTGAACTCGGGTTCTTTGAAACTTTTAACTTTATCCCTCGAAGAGTTCTTGCTAGAAATTTTAACTCTTTCTCCTGCGAATAGTTGTAAGCCAGATCGATGTCAGAAAGCACTTTGTCCAAATGACCTATTTTGATCATTGTATACAGCCAGCTGAAATTCATGATGACACTATACATAAGATCATCTGTCCTCCCACTTCTGGTCAGATGATGTAGAAGTTCTGTCATTTTCCTGTGATTCACAAAAAAGATGTCTGGCTCCAGCAAGTTGCACTGGAAAACCCAAGGCTGTTGAGGGACTTGCCTGTCAAAAATATTCTTGTCAGGCTCTTTATCCTCATTGGTGTTCTGATCATTGATGTCCTTAGATTTTATATGGTTTTGTGGGTGCTCGGAGTGGAATGACATTTTGCGTCCACCAGACCAGACTCCTAAGAAGTAATCTGCCAAAATGCTGTGCATTTCGTGTACGTCTTCCTCATTCTGCAGGTACAGTTTCTGAGCAATCAGGTGAAGATGGCGGTTTGCCCACACCAGGAGTGTGACACTTCGCACCTGCCTCTCCACCAAATACCCACGCAGCTCCTCCTTCAGTCTTGCAATGAAATAATATGGTATCCGCAGTGGATTCTGAAGCTTAGCTGTTGCTGTGATTTCATTCAGAACATATCCGTCAAGTGAAAGGATATCTTCCAGTTCCATTTCACTCAACCCCGATTTTGCAATCGTGATGAAGCCAAGGGCCCTCGAGGCAAGCCTGGGGCCGCATTTGGCTTCTAGAGACCGGAAGAGTTGCTCAATATTTTCATGTACAGTCACGCAGAGTGAAGTATCATCCACGTCCTTATGTGACCGCCACTGCATGACTTCTCGATAAATCAGGTTAACAAACATGGGAAGGGTGCACTTTGAGAGTGCTTCGTTGACATATATTTGCTGACCCGAGGTGACCTTCCTTTTGACTCGCAGGAGTTGCTGCTTGAGAAGCTGGCTGCACATCTTTCGATCCCTCTGAGTCAGTTCAATGTAGTTTTCATCATCCTGGAACAGGGACCTCAGCTTCTGCAGAATCCCGTGCTTGTTTGGCAGCGTTGACAATATCACCCGCACCGAGCGGGGCAAGTGGATCGGAAGCCACCACAACTTGCGGGCTTCTTCGCTGTCAGGAAGCTGCTCCAGAGCATCGAATATTAACACCAATGGGCGATGGAACGAAGACTCATTCAGGAGGTTTATGAATAATTCCCTCAGATCATTTATTTTCTGAGGATAGTTGTGTATCAGGCAACGGTAGTTGATGGCAATCTGCTCACAGAGACTTTGCAGTAGGGTTTTAAGGTCTGTACTTAACTCTGTCGATCCCAAAAATCTCATAATTATGACTGGATCAGAGTCGGGCCCCATTTCTTCCTGAAGCCAGGCATAGGCCTGAAATATGAAATATTATTTCAGTATTGGAACTGACAACAAGATAAAAAAGGTTTCATAACAGTTCGCATTACTTAAGACGCCATGGTGCTGAAAAAAAGAAATATAAAGTCAATGAATTGCTGAGAGTAGGCTTTGTCACCTTATTGTTTTAAAGCAACTTTTTTCCCAACCTCTTTCCTGAATATATTGACTTACATGTGGGCACAGCTCCACATGTCCTGGTTATCCTATCTTTCCTGAGTGAGCAGCCATTCATGTATAAGCTTAGACCGTGGAGTGAATGAGTGATATTCTCAAACCTGATTCACTGTTTAACTCTACCCCAACTCCTGAGGTGAGCTAACTCAGAACACATTAAAACCTGTGACACAGTTATGTCAAGTGATACGGCTGTTTGGCCAAATTATTAAATGTTAGTGTTTATATCCCACAAGAGCCTCCACTCCTCCTCAGTTTCTAGTCTGGCAATGTCTTTACTCTCTAGGCCATTAGGGGAGTTTTACTACCTTCAGTTATCAAAATACACAGTCACTACATTCTACAGGAAATCCTGTCAGGCATTTTGATGATGTGATAAGGTGCTATATCAAATTCAAGGATTATTATTACTAAACAATATAATAGGAACTACTGATTGTTGACAACATAGATGATTATATTCTGACAATGAGAGAAAGGGATATTTTACTATTTACTATTCAGTTTTATCAGTCCATTGAGCCGCCTGGCCTTCCAATCCAACCTTCCAAATGATTTTACAACATGTCTAACTCATCATCTAATACTCCTGAAACTATTTAATTTTCAGGAACTTGTCTAGTTCATTTTTGAATCTATTGTTTAGTGTTCCACTAGCAGTTTTTCTGGTTTTTCTACATGCCTATCATCACTCCATTACCAAAAAAATATTCCCATACTTCCTACTGTTGTCCTTATTTTGAAGCTATTATATGTATAAGGTGTCATCCTGACTCAGTCAGTAGCACTATTGCCTTAGAGTCAGAAGGTTGTTGATTCAAAGCATTACACTTCAAATATCAAGGTGGCTGGCACATTACAAGCTGTCCCCCCACCATGCTGAAGGCAGATTAACCATCAAATAACTAATGAAGACACTCTGAGACTTGGAACAACAGCTACTGGATGGCATTACCTAGAATCTTAGTTCATGAGCACATGCACACATGTTCAGGGATTAAAATCCACCTTGATTGGTGTGAAGAGGTGAACAACTGCTGCTGAAGCCCTACACTTCCAACTGGTCACCATTGCTGTTCACCATGAGGGTCACAGTGAGTTCTGAGAACCTACTATCTACCAAGCGAGGAATCTCAAACTGGATCTCAACTAGTGACTATCCTTAGGGGAGGGTAAACAGGGGTTTTCTTGGGGCTGAGCTAGCTCCAAGGTAACATGGTTAATAATGAGATAACATAATTGAGGCAACCCTCTGTGGCAGACTCAGTCATCCAGTTGCTGAGCCAGGCCCACCAGGCAGACTGGCTCATTAGCAGGACCTGCAGGGGCAGATTAGATGAAGGGATTCTTTCCACTCAGCTCCTGTTAACCCAGCAAACCAAAGCCCTAACGGGAAGGATAGGCCTAGCTGGACAAGCAATGGGAATTTTGGCAGTGCCATTGACAGTGCTCTCAATGGCAAGCAATGCAGTTTTAGCTGGTTAGACTCCAGCAGTCCAACAACGCACACTCTGGGGTTCCCAAAGCTTGACTCTTGCCAACCTAGCTTACTGCTAGTACTTTTTGGAATTAAGTAAGCAGGGTGCGTTCCTCCAGGGATGGCGTGGGCATTTCCATTTCAGATACAGAGATATTTGCGTGCAGAGGTGACTGATATGCATATCTAGTGCTCTGTCCGGTTTTCTTATGAAAATGATGATGTGTTTCTGCTTGTATCAGTGACCTGGACAATTCCTTACCAGACTTTGCCCTTGTACTTCCTACAATCGCTCTCTATTCAGCCCATTGACCCAGAGTTTTGTTGCCTTTCTTCTAAGGTTAAGTTCTGTTTTATACATTCAATGTGGAACTAGTGGTAACAAATCACATTCTTCAATGTTCTAATTTGACTAAGTTCTTCATGTAACCACTTTCCTCTTGTAGGCACCAGTGTCTCTGTGTCATCTGTTGCTCTTGATTCATAATACAGCCTTTTCTCTCTCTCTGTTGTTCTGTATCCAAGTAACTCGTTTAGGGTACATTGCAAGTGTGTCCACAGTGTAGGAGGGCAATTTGGGATACGTGATGTGATAATAATCACTTTGAATGGATGCGAAATACTACATCTTGTGATAGCATACTACAAATTTCCCCATGGATTCATATGTATAAAACACTGATACTGGCATTGTATTACAAAATATTTTTATGTGGTATGCAAATGTGAATTCCGCTGTTAAACATGGAAATACACATACCAGACATAAACCTTACAGAAAGCAAAAGTAAACACAATGAACCACAACTACAGGTTACAGTATCTTCTAAGCGATAACATATTGGGCAGCTCAATCAGTTGGTCATCAGACAAATGACTTGAAATTACTGGTTTAAATGTTGGTGAATCCATTCAGCACGTTACCCTTTGAGAGTCAGTGTAGACATGTTCTCACCCCTGGAAACCATTGCCCTAACGTCTCAGTTGTACAATTACCATGAAATTTAGCAGTGTTTTGAACTGATAATAATAATAATAATAATCCTTGCATTTGATATTGCGCTTTTCACGTCGGGAGAACGTCCCAAAGCGCTTCACAGAACACACTGTAAAGTGAATTGACTGTATATTTGTGGGCGAACGCGGCAGCCAATTGCGCACAGCAATGTCCCACAAACAGTCGTAGATTGAAAATGACCAATTTATTATTGTTTTTGGTTTTACGAGGGATTATTATTAGGCTCTGTGTGGAGTAAGGAAACTTGCCCAAGGTTTCGCCCTGCTTGGAATTGAACTCAGGTCTCTTGCTTGCAAAGCGAGTGCTCTAACCACTGAGCTACAGGACTCTAATGATGGGTGACATGGGTACCATTTCCTATCTCACAAGGGTAAGTTACTTTTAATGAGCTGAATAAAAACTTGTCTGGTTACAACTGACATTAGTTTGTAACTTGATGAAAGTCTACCTCACGGGTGAAATTCTTCTCGCACACTAACCCCCTGCTCCTGCTCAGTATCAAGCTCTGCCACTGTTAAGGGGTCTGAGATGCTACCCGTGTGAAGGGCACTATATAAATTCACATTGCTGTTGTTATTCCCTCACAGTAGAACATTTCTTCTAAAACAGATTTTCTCCTACACAACAAGCTTTCCTTAATACAGGCATCCAAGCTCTTCTTGTTCCAGCCTGGACAGAGTTTCATCTCAAGAGAGATTCGGTTGAAGGCGTTTTGGTTCATTTGACAGTAGTTACATATGAAGTGCTATGAGACATTTTCATGCGATAAGGCACTTTTAGAATTCAAGTTCTTTCTTTTGAGTTCTTCTTTAATCAGAATTCTGGATTATAAATAATAATGATAATAATAAATAATAATCCTTGCATTCCATATAGCGCCTTATCACATCATTAAGACGTCTCAAAGCGCTTCACAGAATATATTATAAAGTCAATTGACTGTGTATTTTGTGGGTGAAATGCGGCAGACAATTGTACACAGCAATAGTCGTGGATTGGTCTGTCACGTTGCTTTATATTGCAGTTCTGGATGCTATAAATGTGGCGCTAAAGTGGAGACCCTTGTATTTTGAGCATGCAGAGTTTTTACACCATCTCTGCACTTCTGGAGAGAACATGCTGGCAAATGACATTTCATACATACTAAAAAAAAATTACATTTAATATAGCGCCTTTTATGTTGGGAGGGTCTCTCAAAGTATGTAAAATAGTTTAGTGGGTGTGCATTTTGCCAGTGAAATGTGCAGCCAATTTACACATAACAATGTCCCATAAACAACTGTGAAAGGAGTGAATTTTATTTGGAGTATTGTTGGCCAGGGCACTAGGAGAATCTCCCCTCTTTACAACAGCACCATGGGATCGTTAACATCCACATTGAAAGGTAGACAGGACCTCACCTATCATGGAATAAGCAAAGTGAAGTTCAACGTTTTATTTTTGCAATTTCGGATTAAATATAGCTGAGGCGGAGATATGTCTGAACATCAAGTGACATCTCACATCTTTTCCTGACTATGCTATCATTACAGGGCTCTTCAGTCGTGAAAAGAGTCATCTTATAGGGGACTTTATAGAGGTACAAAAAAAGATTTTAAATTGGATTAAAAAAGTAAACCCAGAACAATTCTTTTAGATGCACCGAGACTGCAGAACAAGAGGACACAGGTTTAGAGACGAAAAGGGAAATTTCAGAACAGACACCAGGAATATATAAGAATCATCCTGCATTTGATATAGTGCCTTATCACTCTTCGACATATCTCAAAGCGCTTCACAGAATATACTGTAAAGTGAATTGACAGTCGTGGATTGAAGTGAGCATTTTTTTTAAAGATATTACTACCCGGAAAAGTGATCCGCCAATCGACTAACAATTGGGTTCCTCCTTACTGCTAGGTAGACAGGGGCATGTGGAGTAAGGAAATTTGCCCAACATTTCGCCATGCCGGGAATTGAACCCAGGGTCTCTCACTTGTAAGGCAAGTGCTCTAACCACTGAGCTACAGGACTCCAGGAAGTATTTCTTTACTCAGAGGATTATTAACAACTTGGACAGGTTTAGCAGGAAGGGTGTCTGAGACCAGAACACTGGATTCATTTAAAAACAGATTGTGGCTGTGAAGGGAGGATGGGAGGGTGGGTATTCTGAAGGGGTGAGATCCAATGGGTTGAAATGCTGAAAATAAACTTCTAATGATAATTTACACAATTTACAAGTGGCCAATGACGGCCTTCGCACAACTTAGACAGATTTGTCCATCCCTCCACCACCCACACTTCACCCTGACCCCCACAGTCATAGTCCGATCATACTCAATGTCAAGGCTCACTTGGCCAAGGTACAAGAGGGGTCAGAGAACTATACCTCAGTGTAATTACAAAGGAGTCAAAACAGCTTCAGGAGAGGAGGGGAGAAAATTGGTGAGGTGAAAAACAGTCACATAATATTATTCATTGCTGCTGATTCAGAATTACTGGAACATGCACTAAATTAACAGGAAATCAACTTCCTTTTCCTACCCCAGTAACCACCATTGGTCTTTGCTATAGCTCACTCCAGCTGCAACCTGTTATACATTCCAATGCACAAAGTCATAGACACAAACAAATACACCCTCATTTACACACAACACACACACATGCATAAATGAACTCTAGTATTAGTACCCTAGTATTATTGATTTACTGGTGCAGGCAGCTAATGTCAATCCACTCCCAAGTTAACATTACTGGCATTACTGTTTAAAAACTGAATTCAGTCTGGATGGGCCAATCCACTCTCCCCAGTTTCTATGATACAGTAGTGGACTCTCATGACTGTCACAGGCCAAGCAACGCTATGGGATATATTACAATATTTCTAATTTATACCATAAAATGCTACATTAACTCCCAAAACATCTTTTATAAAATGGGTTAGCGCACTCTCTATTGAGTTCATAATGGTGAGGTCAAAGTATAATAATAACAACAATCCTTGCATTCAATATACATGTCTTCTAGACGTCTCAAAGCGCTTCCCAAAATACTATAGAGTGAATTGACTGTATATATATATATATATTTTGTGGGCAAAAAGCAGCAGCCAATTGCGCACAGCAGTGTCCCACAAATTGTCGTGCATTAAGTGATCACTTATTTTTAAAGGGATTATTACGCCAGAAAAATTATTTGCCAATCGACAAACCACCGGGTTCCTACATACTGCTAGCTAAACAGAGGCTTGAGGAGTAAGGAAACTTGCCCAACATTTCGCCCTACCCAGATCTCTTGCTTGCGAGGCGAGTACTCTAAGCATTAAGCTACAGAACTCCACATTCCTTTATTCAATATTTATGTAGCAATCTTGCTTAGAGGACACAGGATGGATGATGCAAGAAATGAAAAACGTGGGTGCTGTAGGGACTCTGAGATGGGATTAGCCACATTGCTGGGCAAATTAGAGACCTTTTATCCTACATCTATGTCCGACATTTACTATGTTCGACCTGGAAATGACTTGACATTGGCTCCCTGAAATAGTCTAGAGTTCCATTTCTCAGATTAGCCATCCCTCACCTTAATCACCATGAAGTGAATGAAAAAAGAACAGCTAATCAATGTTGAACATTAGCCCTTCTTCCACCTAAAACAAACCAAATCAAATTGTGAAATCCCATTATACCCACCTATATCCTGAATTAACACACACAGTCACTGTGTTGGAATGTAAGGGGAATGAGGATCAAGTCAAGCTGCTTTACACTCACTTGATATGAATCCTGTTCTGAAACAGCTGTCTATCAGCAAGAGATGAGAGGTTTTACTCTGATGAAGTATTCACTTTCATCCAAGCCAGCTTTGAATTCACAGGCACTCCATGTTTACAGTCATAACATAGACAGACTTAGGCATATGCAACACATCTTTTAAAGGTCAGCCAATGCAACACTGAAGGAAATAAACTGCTTTTACCTGCTTTGCCACTTCTGCTAGTAGAAGTGTTTTCCCTGTGCATGGCCCACCATACACAACGAGTGGGTTCATGCGTCCAGCTTTGCTGGGCAGAATGTACTTGTGGATCATGTTCAGAGTCTCACATTGGTACTCGTAGAAAGAGGAGTACATTTTACAAAGAGACAAGTGCTGCAGAACCTCATCGTAAAGTGCATCCGTTTCAATGTCAAAGTTCTGTTGAACTGTAGCCTGAATAATGTCAATCATGTCTTCATAAAACTGTTTACAAAGGCCCTCGACATAGTGATTCTCCACTTCCTGTGAATATCCGAGCTTCATGTCACAATGGGTGATGGATGTGTACACTCTTAGATTCGATGCTGCAACAATTGTGGGAATGAACTCTTCCCGGAGTTTCACAAGCTTTTCATTGGCCACAGGGTCTCGTATAGGTTTCCCATTGACTTCTATGATGTCGACGTAGCGGCTCATTTCTGGGATCTTCACATGGCGTTCAATGTTTGCAATTCTTCTAATGTAGCATACGCACTTTTTTAGAAATGCTGTGGTTTGGTTCCCCAGGGCAAACTCAAACTCATCCTCGATTGCTTTAAGAAAAGAAAACCAGAATCTATTGATAAAGGGATCACCCAAAGTCAAGGGTGAAGTATCAAGGGTGAAGCTCTCAGAGCAAACTTTAACAGTACAATTAAGAGAGACCTTTGCTTCTTGGCACCATTCTGAATTCTGGCTGGTATGTTTACAGTTTAGGTGGAAAAGCCTCTGGTAACACTGAAGAATTTCACCACTGATTAATAGCATTTCTAGGTTTATGCGAACTCCCGAGGAGACAAAGAGCTACTTGGCAATAAATGACACGGGAGTGCACACTTGAGGAGGAGCTGAAAGGGATAAGCCTGGAGGATGTAGGATGGGACTGGAAGGAATGACTGAAATGTGAGCCCAGATTTATGAACTAGCAGGACATGAACAAATTGTTACGACTGATAATCAAAACCCCAAATCAGGTTGAAATGAACCTAACGTCAGTGTGATTGCTTTTCATACAGATGTGTAACCTCTGGTGATTTCTAATGCCTCAAGTAATGTATGATGAATCAAGTCTTTGTTGCTGTGTCCATGGACTCTTGTTTCAGCAGGTCCTGTTATCTTATGGTCTGGAAGTCCCTGTTTACCTGGTATAATTTGGCAAAAATGTAAAAAGTAAAGGAAGGGAACCTAAGAGGATTTTTGTTGGCAGAAAGAAAATTACAAATACCGTTCCTTATTGATAAAAACAATAGATTATTTTCCAAATCCCAAATAAACTGTAGTCAGGCTATCACCAGTGAATTCATTCCTTTTAAGGTTAAAATTTTGCAATGAATCTGCAGTGAAATAAGCTGTCTTAATTTCAGTCGGTCCTCTCCCTATTTTGGCACAGAAATGAACTCCCCCACAAATACCAGCCCGGGTTATACCAGGCTGTAGAGCAAGACTTGAGAAGAGCATCCCAGACACAGGCAGTTACTCCTCAAGGACCAGCTCATGTCCACCCAGCAGCTCACTTATAAGTTCCACATAATGTACAACTTATTGTACATTTTATTTTCCAAAATCTGCCACAAACACTATCTGGTACTTCCCAGATCTTAGCTAAAACTTATGCCATTAGTACTAGCCATTCATTACACAGAAGAACATTCTACCCCCCACCATCCACCTTCCCCCAGGAAATTTCCTCCTTTTACTTCATCTGGGTGGAGCAGGGGTGGTGGGGGGGTGGGGGTGCGCTTTCTAATTTGCAGTATTTTTTATAAGAAATTCCACTAAAATTCCTGTCGACCTGTGGGATCTCTGCTTCGGTAACAGAACTTATCAGAACAAAGTTCCTATAGGTTGACGTGAAGTATGCCTGGTTACTGTAAGGAGTTCCCAATTTACATGACTTGGATTTCTTATTAAAGGATAGTATTAAGAAATTTGTTACACTATTGCCCATGAACTTTACTTAAACACTCTGGGACACCACCCGGCGTGACTGGTGCTATATAAATGCAAGTTGTTGTTGTACTTAGGTTTATGGATGTGACTGGTTACGTTCTGCATTGTTTCCAGCAGAACTGCAGGCTTTTGTTTTCACCTTTGAACTGTCTGGTTCCCTTCGTAACAGCGATAAACAAGGTGAACATCCTACCGGAGCGGAGATATTTTTTGGCTTCGCAGCTTTGCATGGTCCCACGTTCCTGGAGCAAAGTCACAGCAGTTTTGAAAACTTCCTTGATTTCCTCTGATATTTTATTCCACTTCTTGTCACCGGGTGAATTTGAAGTTGAGTCTACCTGCACAATGCAAAGTGATAACTATGTCATGCTGATCTGGTAAAAAAATGTCAATTATTCCCACCAGTAGTCCCCAGGAATACTTTGTTCTGTGGAGTTTGAAGGTATCAAATATTAGCTTGATTTAGTTCATAACACTCTTGCCTCCTGGGTCAGAAGGTTCAAGCTCCACAACAGGATTTGAGTTCATTGTCAAGAATAATATGCTTAGATGTGCCAAACATTAGATGCGCTGCAAAACTGAGGTCCTGTCTGCTTTTCCTTCAGGTACATATTAAAAAGATCCCACAAACAATGATTATAAAAGAGAATGGTGTTTTTCCCTGCCAACAACCCTCCAGATTAATTGGTCATTCTCTTAATAGCGGTGTGTGGATCTTGCTGATGCAAATGGCTGTTGTGCTTACGTTTAGAGGTGATAAGGCACAATAAATACACAAGGTTATTTTATAATTCAATGGGTGAATCACTTGGGTCCCTCACAATGCCACCCTCTGGCCAGCTTTAAACCATTGTCAGCAGATCAATTTTTCAGGTTTTTAATACATTAATTGTATGGATATTTGGAAAACTTTCTCACATTCATTTGTGATTTTCAAAAAATGCAAGATCCCACATGTGAAGAATTAATAAAAAAAATCATAATTTGGTCACTCAATTCCTGACTGTTTGTAGGACACTGCTGTGCGCAAATTGGCTGCCGTGTTTTGTCCACAAAATATCCAATCAATTCACTTTACAGTATATTCTATGAAGCGCTTTGAGACATCTCAACAACGTGATAAGGTGCTATATTAAATGCAAGGATTATTATTAATCCTGTCACATACACACCTAAAAGAACACAGTCACTACACATGACAACAAATACCTGTGATGCGTTTGAGAAGTTTTAAGGCCACAATGTCAAATGCAGAATTATTAATATAAATTTGTCACAGTTAACATCAGTTGGGAATCAGGAAAAAAACATTCAGGATGCGAAATAATTTCAATAAGAGTTTTTGCTGACACCCAGGAAGTTCACTGTAGCCTGGGTGTAGATTAACAGGGATAATTTCACATTGCAAGGGTGTCCCAAGCCGCTGGACAGTCAGGGATTTGGACCCAAGCAGGCAGTTGGGATCAGGAGTGTAAATATAAAATAATATACTCCTCATGGTCATTGACCATAGACTGGCTTGCAAAGCATGATGGCCTGGTCTATTATGCAGACAATGAGGAAGATACTCAGAAGGAGGAAGTCCATTGTGATAGTAATAATAATAATCCTTGCATTTAATATAGCGCCTTATCACGTCTTTGAGACGTCTCAGAACTCTTCACAGAATATACTGTAAAGTGAATAGTCTATACATTTTGTGGGCGAAATGTGGCAGCCAATTGCACACAGCAGTGTCCCACAAACAGTTGTGGATTGAAGTGACCAATTTATTTTATTATTGTTATAATCCAAAAGCAAGAGAGTGCTAATGGTTACTGCTACGAAGTGAAGAACAACTCTTTGTGATTGCAAAGGCAGTTGGAAACAACTCAATATATGGAAAAACTCAAAAGACTCAGAGGTGAGCAGGAGATAATAAAAGATTATAACAAGACAAGATATTGTCTGTTAAGGCGAGGAGAGCTAAGGACTAGGATGGAGAAGGTAACCCTCTGGTCAAGAACTGATCAACATCAAGAAGACAGTGGCTTTGAGCCTCCCAGGGTGTGGTCCTGATCATTCCAAGCCCTGAGTAATCCTCCGCAATTGTAAGTGTTAAAACTTTGACTGTTGTAACTGTCTCTAGATTTTTAATAAACTAATGTTTGCTTTAACCATTTAAATGTGCTTCGTCCGATACTTTACCTCGTGGTCCATCAACCTTGGATTTGAGCTTTAAACCACCTCTGATCTCCTACAGGAGAGGTAGAGGGCAACAAGGGTAGGGGTAGGAGGGTGATCGAAGGCACGGTCGAAGAGGAGGGTCTTGAGACGGGCCTTGAAGGAGGAAAGGGAAGGAGGCAGCTCAGCTCCATGGAGATCCCCTTACCTCCCCCAAGGAATATCATGTCCCCAAATAGTCGATCTTGTACACATCCTAGATTTTAAAAAAAGTATGCAATGATAAGTTCATTGTTACGAGTATCTCTGAGACGCCGTGGGATGTACAAGAACAAAAACTGACCAAATACCCTATAAAATATAAATGTATAAATTCCGATAAGCATTTCGCACATCCCTTTGTTGATATTGGCTACTAAAGGAATTTCCCATTCTAATCATGAAATTATAACACATTATAATCAGTCCTGAATGTGTGTATCCCTGACCAGAACTGTTTTTGGGTCAACAGGATGTCTGACACATCTGAAACAGACTGAGCATTCCATATATGTATGCCACCTAGACATGAAAAATTCCCTGTGTCTAGAATGGAATGCATACTGTCTCCATAGAGGGTTACATCCTGCTTACCTAATTCTGAAAGTATTAGGCACAGAGTGGCAAGAGCCAAGACTTTGGGGTGTGCATTTGGATACAGCTCAAGTCTAACTAGCTAGCACTGCATAATTACAATAATAATTCTTGCACTTGGTTATCACCCCTTATCACATCATCCAGATGTCTGAAAGCCCTTCACAAGATATTGTGTAAAATGGATTGGCTGTGTAATTTGTGGGCAATCGCGGCAGCCAGTTTTGCACAGCAATGCCCCACGAACAGCCATGGAGAACCCCCTTCCCTTTTAGAATAGTGCCATGGGATCTTTAACGTCTGAAGATAGGTGGGACCTCGGTTTAATGTCTCAACTTGCAATTGAAAGCTACTGTCTGGCAAGTTTCCTGCTGTTTCGCTGCTAGGATCACCCTATTAGGGCTTTGGCCTGCAGGGTTAATAGGACTGAGTGAGACAAATATCTGCTCTCAGTATCTGGTCTGCCCATCCAAGTCCTGCTGATGAGCCAGCCTGGCTGGTCTGTTATCAGCAGTGCCATGGAGGTTGGCTCAAGAATCAGACCACTGAGACCGCCCAGAGGGCTGACTTGATTCCAACATTTTATTGCCAAGCACGTCACCTTGAAGCCAGCTCAGCTCCATGGAGACTGCCTTACCTCCCCCCAAGGAAAATCATCTCCCCAAATAGTCGATCTTGTACACATCAGAGATTTTAAAAAAGTATGCAACGATAAGTTCACTGTTAAAAGAGTGTCTCCGCAGACACTGACAAAAACTGAAATAATAAGTTCACTGTTAGTTTGGCTCTGCAGACACTGACAAGCACTGAAGATGCCTACATTCTCCAGTCTCAAAGGTGATAAGCCTTACATACCAGAGACGTGTAGTGAACTGAATTGTAAAACCACAATGACTCCAATTAGGTCAAGAGGGAATTATTTGCAGAAGGTGAAATTGAACCACTTCCGGTTTGACATATTGGTCTCATTCAATTTGTTTTAAACACTATGATGTGTATTGGGCATGTAAAATAAGATTGTACATATATATAATTGTGGCATTCATATCCACAGAGGGATGCGGTGTCACTCTCATCTGCAGCGTTCTATGTTAACATTCTCCCACTGATCGTGAGTCACCCTGGGCTCCTCCAATACAGGACATCTCCAAACAGCTCAGACAGAGCCGGGGGAGCAGGTCACATATTTGCTACTTTATGGAATGTTATACTATCCAGAAATACCTAAACTTTCTGCCCCCATCCTTTGGAACTCCATCCCACAGTCCCTTTGCCTCACTCCCTCCCTTGTCTTCTTCAAGGCCCATAATAGTAAACTAAAAATAATTTAAAAATATAAACAAAAAACAAATTCAATATACTGTAATTCATCATAATAATATTAATCTTTGCATTTGAAATTGTGCCTTATCACATTGTCGTGATGTCTCAAAGCGTTCACATGAATTTACTGTGAAGTGTAGTGACTGTATTTGTAGGTAACCTTGGCAGCTAATGCCCCTGCAATGTCCCACAATCACACAGTGAAGTGTGTGACCAATTTTGTATTTGGTCAATTGTTTACCAGGGAATCTGGACAGAATCCCTTCTGTTTTTGGATAGTGCCATGGGATATTTTTAATCTCTGAACTGCCAGACATGCCCTCTCGTTCATAGGCTAGAGTTAGAGGAAGCTTGCCCGACAGTGTTCACAATGGCAAGCTATGTGGTTAAATGCTAGAAGTGCTCCAACACACACTCTGGGGACCCTGAGCCTTACCTCTTGTCAATCCGCACCTAATACTTTCTGGAATTAGGTGAGCAGATAATAATCCTTGTATTTGATATAGCGCCTCATCACGTCTTCGAGACGTCTCAAAGCGCTTCACAAAATATACTGTAAAATGAATTGACTGTATATTTTGTGGACGAAACGCGGTAGGCAATTGCACACAGCAGCGTCCCCACAAACAGTCATTTGAATGAGATTGAATGTCAGCTTGGCTCAGGTGAAGCACTCTTCTTTCTGAGTCAGAAGGTTATAGGATCAAGCCCAACATAAGGACTTTGAATTCATCACATCCAGGCTCGACTTCAGTAATTCCCTTCTTGTCGGCCTTCCCAACTCTTCCTTCTACAAGCTGCAGATCATTCAGAACTCTGCAGCTCGTGTACTCTCACACACCAGGCTCTGTGGCCCTATCACCTCCTACCTCTACCCTTCCTGCCCTCTACCCATCCTGAACCCAAATCCCTGAGTGTCCAGCGCCTTGGACGTGCTCCCAACATGAAAGGTGCTAATCAAATTTAATTTGTTGTTCTTTGTACACACAGTGTGGGCTGACATTTCAATACAGAGCTGGGGCAACACTGCATTATTGGAGGTGCTGTCCCTTTGATAAAACGTTAAACCGAGGTCCCATTTGCCTGATCTGGTGGAAGTTAATGATCCCAAGGCACTATTTGAAAAGAGAAGGAAGTTCCTTCTGATGTCCTGGCCAAGACTGCCCCAAATAAAATTGCTCACTCACTGCTTGGCTACGCACAAATTGGCTGCTGCAATTGCTGATAAAACAGTCAGTTCACTCCACAGTAAAAGTCCTGTGAAGCGCTATGAGACATCTCGATGATGTGATAAGGCGCTATATCAAATGCAAAGGTTATTATCCTATTATTATTTTAGTCAGAGACAAATAACTTGCAATGATATACCATATTGTACGTAAAGAAACATCTTAAGAGTGTAGTGGTGAGCACTGGAAGATTTACAGACTTTGACCAAAGGTACAGTCAAAGAAATTTTTCTTCAGAGGATTTTGAAGGCTGAGAGGTACGAGAGGGCTCCCAAACACTTGTGGAAGCATCATTGAAAGTCAGCTCCTTGAGAAGAGGAGGGGAGAAAAGTGACAAAAAATAATTTCCAGACACCACAGGCATCTGTGACCATATGTCGGCCTATATTGATTGATTCATATGCTGCTGCTTGTCTTGAGGCAATACAAGTGCTAGCATATACGAGACTACATCTTTCATGATTTATCAGTGAAGCTGAAGGTGCTGATTTTTCATTGATGTAGGGATCCACATATTGGCAGACTTCTGATACCTTGTTCAATGGAGACAGAGCTCGTCAAAGTAACAAATGACGTCCTCTCTCTCTGTGACCAGGGCTCCCTCTGCTTTCTCATTCTGCTGGACTTCTCCACCAGGTTCGACACAGTCGACCACGCCATCCTCCTCCATGGATCCCTCCTCCCTCATCCATCTTAGTGGGACCCCACTCACATGATTCGAGTTCGACTTAACAAACCGCCAACAATACATCTCTGCAAATGGTTTTTCTTCTGCCCAGTCACTTGTGGGGTACCTCAAGGCTCCATCCTTGGGCCCCTTCTTTTCCTTATCTACATGCCTCCTCTCAGCGATGTCATCCGCAGACACGGGGTCAACTTCCACATTTTTGCGGATGACACCCAAATCTACTTGTCCTTCTCCGGCTGCAACTCCCAGCCCACTGATGTCCTGCCAGTTTGTTTGACAGGCATCAAGGCCTGGATGAGCACAAATTGACTGCAGCTCAATGTCGGCAAGATGGAAGCAATACTCCCTGGCTCCCATCAACGTCTTCTCTCCTGTGGGTCCGAACTCCTCAACCTCCCAGGGCTCTCACTCGGATTCTCCGAATCTGTGCACAACTTAGCGTCAGATTCGATCTCCAACTTTCCTTTCTGCCCCACATCCGTTCCCTGACTAGGGCCGCTTTTTTCCACCTCCATCACATTGCCCGTCTCCATCCGTACCTCAGAACCAATGCAGCCGAAACCCTCGTCCATGCCTTCGTCAATTCCCGGTGGACTATTCCAATGCCCTCCTCGCTGGTCTCCACCGTACACAAAATACTATTAATTCAAAACTCCGTTACCTGGATACTCACCCACACAAAACTCCGTACTCCCATCCTTGCCAGGCCCCACTGGCTCCCAATTACCGAACGGATCGATTTCAAGATCCTCTCATTCATTTTCAAATGTCCTCGCACCTCCCTACTTATCTGACCTGCTTACCCCCCAATCCACCAGCTGCTGCAATACAGTTTCCAACAGGAGTTACCATACAGTGATCAGGAGCAAACAAACAACTGACCATGGGTGAATTCAGCTAAGCCTAGAATTGAACCTGTGACCCCCCCGGTCATTGTGGTTTAGTGTTTAGTGTTGTCTTTACCCACGAGGCTATTGGAAAACCACAGACAACAAAAACAACCAACAACAAATTACATTAGTATAGCGCCTTTCACATTGGGAGGACATCCTAAGGTGTTGGACAGTCAGGAATTTGCACCTGAGCTGGGGTTTGGGATCAGGAGAGGTGGAGGGCAGGGAGGGTAGGGGTAGGAAGGTCCAACCGCCAATGGTGGAGTGGGCTTGACGGGGGACATGGAGCAGGCTGGAGCCCGCTGAGCGGAGGGAGCAGACAGACAACCAACTAATAATTAATTATTGACAAGGCTGAATTTTCAGCAAAGTGTTAAATAACACATTACATGTCGCAGTTTTCACCACATGTTGGAGACATTTAAAATGTTGCAGACCTTTACCGCATTCTGGCAATTGTTCAGCATTTCAGACTTGGGTTTGAGGTAGTACGTTGGTGGGACGGAGTTCTCATCTCGGCAGTACCACTCCTCCAAGATTCTTGTGTCCAGTTGAGCTTCCAGAGCACCATCCAGGATCATTTCAAACTCAGAAGATTCAATCTCTCCGGGTAAGCGGATGCTACTGTACTTTTCACCGCACAGTCCCTGTGAAACAACAGAGAAAAAAACATGTGTTTTACTGGGGTTCGATCACCAAAACTTAACCAAAGCTTGAGGCTCATTTATTTAGTTCTCCTACTTATCTCCTGATGATTAGGCCAGACTGGAATGTACCAAGCAAGCAGAGATTAAAAAGAAACAATAACTATTACAAGCAAGGAACTTTAATAAATAATATGTGATTGATTACTTTCATTGATCAATTCACCCTACGTGATCATTTAAGTGGCCAATTGTTCACCAGAGTTTACTCCTTGCTCCTAACAATACGGTCCTCAAATTATATTTACCTTGTTTCATTCAGAGTTTTTTGGAATGTGGAACACCCTGCCTGGCAAGGTGGGTTTTAAGAGGGAAATAGACAGGAATATGAAAGTTAGAGGTTTGAAGGGGTATATGGCAAGACAGTGCTATTGAAAGTATAGCTTGCTCTGAGAGCCAGTGCACACTCTACGGGACTGATGGTTCCTACATTGTAAAGTTCTATGATTCTACGATTCTATTGAGTGAAGTTTATCAGTTCTTGACTCTGCGCAAAGTGATGCTGTCCTTTGTTAAAGATGCTTTATAATTGCAAGTTTTTGTTGTAGGCTTAATAGATGGAGGATACAAGGTGTGTTACAGTGAAACCTAGATATACATTACCATGTTTACAATACTGGCAGGGAGTTATGTAGAATGTTGTAGATCATGAATCATTGGATGTATCACTTAATATTACTACAGGAATACAATTGTGACATGTTTAATTTATAGGCAGACACTGAAGATGACTATGAGTGCTGGAATAATACATTTTAAGGATGTTTAAATAAACCTAAGAGAATGGTGTCAACATTGAGTTTTCTCTGATTCCACTGGTTAATTCTATTTGTCTGAACCTAAAGAATTTTTAATTTTAATTCCAAGATAGTAAAAATCTTTATTTGATTAAGCCTAAGGTTTATTCATGTTGTTGCACTATTGAATTCCGCCTCTAGGTGTTGCTGTAATAAAAATTCAGCTATGGACCTCACCATTTAAAAAACTGAAGTTAGTTTTTGAGAACAACAAGAAGAAGATTAGATTTGTATAGCGCCTTTCACGTCGGGAGGACATCCCAAGGCTCTGGACAGTGTACAGCATTACAGACCCAAGCAGGGGTCAGTGGGGGAGAAGGGAGGGGAGGGGAAAGGGGTGGCCGATGGCATGGTCGAAGAGGAAGGTCTTGAGGCAGGACTTGAAGGAGGCTAAGGAGGGGGCGAGGCGGAGTGACTGATAGAATTCCAGAGGTTGGGGCAGAGTGGCTGAAGGCTCTCACACCAATGGTGGGGCGGGTGGGTCGGGGGACATGGAGCAGACCGAAGACTGCTGAGCGGAGGGAGCGGTCGGGTTGGTAGGGGGTTAGGAGGTTGCAGAGGTAGAGCGGGGCGAGGCCATGGAGGGCTTTGTAGGTGAAGACCAGGACTGGATCCTCTGAAGGATAGGGAGCCGATGGAATCAGGCGAGAGTGGGGGAGATGGGGTCAACGAGTTTGGTGCGGGAGAGGACACGGCTACAGAGTTCTGGATTATCTGCAGCCTCTGGAGGGAGGAGTTGGGAAGGCCGACAAGCAGGGCATTTGCATAGTCGAGCCTGGAGGTGATGAAGGCATGGACAAGAGTTTCAGCGGCCTGAAGGGAGAGGTAGTGGCGGAGTCGGGCGATGTTACAGAGGTGAGGAAAGGCAGAGCGGGTCATGCCTTGAATGTGGGGAAGAAAAGACAGTTGAGAGTCGAACAAGACACCTAGGATCCTGACTGGCTGGTGAGTTGCAGTGTGAGGTTGGAGGTTGATGTTGCCAGAGCCTGAGGTGCTGAGGCGCTGGCGTGAGCCAATCAGGAGGGCCTCAGTCTTGTTCACATTCAACTGTAGGAAATTTGCTCTCATCCAGGACTTGATGTCCGACAGACAGTCTGTCAGGACAGCAGTGGTCCTGGAGTTGAGGGTGGAGGCAGAAAGATAGAGTTGGGTGTCATCTGCATACATGTGGAAGTTGACCCCATGTCTGCGGATGATGTCACCAAGGGGGAGCATGTAGATATTAAAGAGGAGAGGGCCAAGGACAGAGCCCTGGGGGACGCCAGATGTGACAGTGCGGGGGCTGGAGGAGAAACCGTTAGAGGCAACAAAGTGGAGACGATAAGAGAGATAGGAATCGAACCAGGCAAGAGCAGGTCCGTGAAGATTAAGTAAAGCGGAGAGGCGGTGTATGAGGATGGAGTGGTCGACAGTGTCGAAGGTGCCAGAGAGGTCGAGGAGGACAAGGAGGCAGATGGAGCCCTGATCACAGATGTTCAGAATGTCATTAGTCACTTTGACCAGCGCTGTTTCCATGCTGTGGGCAGTGCAGAAGCTGGATTGGAGGGGTTCAAAGAGGGAATGGCGAGAAAGAAAGGAGCGGAGCTGGGATGCGCTGACTCGTTCCAGGACCTTGGAGAGGAATGGGAGGTTAGAGATGGGGCGATAAGTGGAGAGAAGTGATGGGTCCAGGGAAGGTTTTTTCGAGATGGGGGTGATAACGGCTGTTTTTTAGGGGTGTGGGAACTGAACCGGTGGACAAGGAGAGGGGCCAGAAGGTGGAACTGGGAGAAGAGAGGTGGGGATGGGATCGAGGGAGCAGGTGGTGGGTTTGAGTTTGCAGACAGTTGTGGAGAGGGAGGAGGGAGAGATAGGGTCGAAGGAGTATACGGGGAATGGGTGGGGGGGTTGGGTCATGAGGGAGAGGTGATGTAGAGGTGTCTGTGGATGAGGCAGAGGAGGTTGAAAGTATCCGCTCGATTTTGGATTCGAGGGAGTCCAGCATCTCCTCATAGTTGGAGTTTGAGGAAAGGATGGGCGAGGTGTAGCAAGGTGAACGGCGGAGTCGGTTTGTGGTGGAAAAGAAAAGTCTGGGTTTGTCCTTTGCCTCCAAGATAAGCAGAAGGAGGATTTGGCAGAGGCAAGAGTGCAGCGGTAGATCTTGGTGTGGTGAAGCCAAATCTGCCGATGGACCATTAGTTGGGATTTGGTCCAGGCGTGTTCGGCAGCTCGCACTTGTGCCTTGAGGGAATAGAGATGGCTGGTGTACCGGGGGGATTTACGGGAGTATGAGGCAGTTCGGGAGGTGAGGGGGGCAAGGGAGTGCAGAATGGAGCAGAGGGAGTTGTGGAGAAAAGAGAGTGAGGAGGGGAGATCGGTCAGTGAGGGCCAGAGGTGAAGGAGTTCAGATGACTCCAGGAGGAAGAGGGAGGATTTTTTTTCCATGCATGGATTTTTTTCCATGCATGGTATGTGATGGTGGAGGGTTGAGAAAGGGGAAGGGATACGGAGGTGTTGAGGGAGATGAAGTGGTGGTCTGCGATCGCTTTGTCGATGATGATGAAGTCTGAGATGGTGAGGCCCCGGGTGATCACCAGGTCAAGGGGGTGGCCACGATCATGGGTGGGGGAGTGGATGAGGAGGGAAAGGTTAAGGGAAGAGAGGAGGGAGAAGAAGTCGACAGAAATAGAGCAGGAGAAGCTCCCATACTGTAGGGAAAGCAAGTTGTATCTATAGTTTACACTTCAGCCTTCTGATACAATAGTGGGTTCTATCTGTACAGGAAAATGACACTGGAAATTTCTCTGCACCAAAATCAGATGTTCTTGTGGACTTATTTCCCTGACATTCATGTTTGTGTTATGTGTATTGTATGTGTATCACAGAGTTTCATTTATTATTTCAAATTTCCAGATTCTCAAGTTACAGAGTGGAATTCCAGAGGAAAAAAATACATAAATAAGCTAAGCCTTGACCTTCAGTGCCCTCCCCTTCACAAACATAAATATGCACTCATGCACACTAAAATGGCTCATTAAGTTGTCTTAAACTAAAGAGAGGTGGTAGAGACAGCAACTCCGGTTACAAAGGTTCAGTGATGTAGGGATGAGCCCCCTCCCTCTTCTCCATCCCTGCAAGTCCCCAAATTCCACCCAGCCTTTGCCTGCGAGACACTTTCTTCTTGAGATTTAAGATGTCAGAATTGAGTAAAGTTATAATAATAATCCTTGCATTTGATATAGCGCCTTTCATGTCTTTGAGGCGTCTCAAAACACTTCACAGGATGAACTGTAAAGTGGAGTGACTGTATATTTTGTGGGTGAAACACAGCAGCCAATTGGAGCACAGCAACGTCCCACAAACAACCTCAAAGCGAGTGACCTATTTTATTTCTGGTATTGTCGGCCAAGACACCATGAATCAACAGTTCAACATAAATTGTGAAGGATACATAGATTATATAGAGAGATATACAGAGCCCCATCACACAGGATAGTGGCCCAGAGCGCTTAACTGAGAGTTTGACTTTTTTGCATCCAATTAATTTATATTCAGACATTAGAAGTAATGTTTTTACACACAGAGTTGTTAGGATGTGGAATGCCATTCTAGATGTGGTGGTTGAGGCCGAATGCACACTATATATGATTCCAGATTCCATTAGCTTCTCTGACAGCTCTGAGCACCTGCCTTCTCTCCTTTAAGGATCTATCTACATTAACCCCCACCAAGATCCTTTGCTCTTCCACTCCTTCTTATATTTTATGTTTGATATTGTCATAGGGATCTGCTGAGGGATAAGGAATGTGTAAAGATGATAGCACTGTTATTCAGTTCAACAAACATTAAATGCACAACAGCACCAGATTTAATGTGCAGTTAGTTGGGGTCTAATATGAAGCAACTGATAAAAGGATTTGTAAATACATAATTCCTGAAGTACTTGGAACTGTGTTTGGGTGCTAAGATCTTTACTCGAGTGACACTCGTGACCAGTTTTTTTAGCTGCAATCCTATTTCATGGAAGTTGGAAAGAGATTGCCTTCCAAATGGAGTTATAATCATTTCGAGTGACACACATGGGATTCTATATTTAGGAATATAGGAACAGGAGTAGGCCATTTATCCCTTTGTGCCTGTCCTCCATTTAATTAGATCATGGCTGAT